ATAAAGCCCGTTGGCCCCGGCTATAGCCCGCGTCGAGGGCTTATGAATACTTTATAAGCATCGCTCTTATTCGCCATCGCATAGCTCCCCGACGCCGGTTTTCTTGATCCCCGGCACCGGGGGTCCGCGCGGGGCAATTTCCGCGCGAAACTGCAGCGAACGGTTACGCGATGCATAATACCGCGGCGACCTTGCCGCGATCCGCGCGACAAGTGGCGACGGCGGGGAGATGCAAATCGCGCGCGGCGCGACGAGACGATGTCTTCCGAGGCGTCGTTGACGCGCGCGAGACGACGCGAGACGACGCGAGACGACGCGAGACGACGCGAGCGCGGGAGAGGAGAGGGATCGTTCGATCTCACCTCCGGCGACGGCGACGGCGACGGCGACGGGAGGGCGGGAGGGAGGTCGACGTTATTGAGGCTTTAAGCCGCCAGGTACTCCATTAGCGGCGACGCGCCAAGGAGTAGTTTGTCAAAGCGCGATGCATTTGCATAATTGCCGCGCGCGCCGAATAATTATGCGCGTATCCACATTAGGTAATAAAGTCGAAGCTAAACTTTGAAGCGACGACGATTCCCACCTGCGTGACAGGCGCGAACCGCCGAGTGTCGTTTTAATTTCTCCTCCTTCCTTCTCTCTCTAGCGCGCGCGCGCGCGCGCGCCCGCCTGCATAATTTGCGCGCACCTATCGGCTAATACAATACATCGCGCGAGGCTAACCGTTAAATTCGTAATCCTATTTATGCGCGGCGCTAAGGCACTCACGCGCACACCTTTCGTCTCGCCGTAAATGTTCGTAACGCGGGCGTGAGTCAATAACTCGCTGCGTACGGAGCCGCCGTTTGTCAAGACGCAGCTCATTTGCATACTAATCATGCTCCCACGGCACGCGGGAGTGTACATCGCGGGTGTACCCGGCCGCCGAAAGTCGGCGATAAATCTCCGGCGATTATTCTCTCCGACTTTAGAATGCAACAAGATTTCATATCTCGTACGTGTACATGGACCCCTATTAATCTTTCTACAAATCGCGCCCGCGCTTACCTACGCGGATTTTCTAACATACATACGCAAATCGCAGACATTTTAATTAGGATCTTAGGATCGAGCTGACGCGCGTAATTTATTAATTCCAGGGCAATTTGAATAACGAGTTCTTCGGCATAAAAAGACCCCGCTCGCCGGGCGTCAAGCGGCGAGTAAAGTCACGATATCGACCGATTGGATCCGTATCGGATACGCGGATGCAATTTCTCTTGTGCACAGAGAGAACGGTTTCTTTGGATTTAGTATTCCTATTTATTTGGTTGAAATTTGTTTCATTGAAACAATATATGCTTATACGAAACATTATATGTTTTGAATAAAAA